TGCCTTATGTGTGCACGAGCCAGAGTGCCGGGCAGGACCCCTGCCACCGCCCCCGGGGCCCAATTTGCACTTTGCCAGACTGGATGGAAGTGGAGGGGGCTCAGCAGAGGCCCAGGCCCAGAACCCCTTACAGTTGCCACCTTCACTAACCTGCCTGCCTCCTTCTCCCTGCCCCCAGCCGAGGCAGGGTCCCTTGCCCCATATTCCCTGAAGTCATCAGCTCCAATCCTCTAGGCTGGGCTCCAGGGCTGGGATCCTCGGCAGCCCTTCCCACCTCCCCCTCATCTGGCCCCAAATGGGACATTCCCTGCCCTCACCCCCTCCCTCCCTCCCAGTCCCGAAGGCCACCCCAGGTTTGGGTTGGGCTCTGTGTAAAGTTGCATATTTATTGAGCTTTTGATTCTTTTATAAAGACTTGTATATACTCCCCTGGAAAGAGTCCTTTGCTTTTGGAACCTCCCCTTTTCTGGACTTAGGTGCACTTGAGTGCCCTCCTGTGCTCCTGCCCCGCCGTCTGTGCTGGGGCATCGCTGGAAGAGACTGGGAAGCAGAAGTGAATGAACGGGGCAGATATCACCCCCCAAGATCAGCCCCTGTCTCCTGCCACAGCCATGAGTCCACCATTAGAGGCCCCCCAACAATGTGCCCTCCCCCCGAGGGCCCTGCCCTGGACCTACCCCTGTGAGCTTATGCCAGGGTGGGCCACATGTCTCAGACTCTCCTGAGCGTGCTCCCTAGGACCTCCCTCCAGCGCAGTGCCACGCAGTGTCCGGGGAGGGGGGTATCCCACCTGGGTGCTTCTGGCCCAACCCCTCCTGGTTGAGGGAGGGCTCTGAGACCCAGAGAGGGGAGGTCATGTCACTCTGAAGTGGTGGTCTCCGGGCTGAAGCTAGAACCCAGGCGTGGGGACCCTGATGCAGCCCTGTCCTATGTGTGCCCCATCCACCAGCTGCCTCAGGTGAGCTCCTCATGTGTGGCCTCTCTTCCCTGGGAAGGGTGGCCCCACCCTGGCCCCCACCCCTGAGGCGGGCTCTTGGAGGCTGCGTGGCAGGGCGGGCCCTGCGGGGTGCCAGCAGATGGGGAAGCCCCGCTGGAGGGCCCAGCGTGGTTGGAGGGCCCAGCGTGGCGCCCCGAGGCCATGGAGCCACGGCCGGGGGGAAGTGCGGCAGTGGTGGCTGCGGTGAGTGGGGACTTGGGGGCACGACCCAGAGCCTTGTCTGGGCCTGGGTCCCTGCAGAGGAAGGGGATGTGGAGGGGTGAGTCTCTGCTCGGGGAGGCGGTGGGTGGAGGGGGGCCCCTTCTGACCTAGTTAGAGGCTCAGCCGGGGCGGAGCCCTTCCGCTGAGAGGAAACACCCTCTCAGGGGCCAGAGGGGTCTGGGGGCTTCAGGGAGAGGAAGATCAGGGCTTCCCTCCTGACAAAAAACATGGGGGTGTGGGGCTGCCTGATTCCTCGCCTGGTGGAGGGGAAACCCGAGAGGGGATGGCAGGAACCCGTACTCTTCTCTGAACCCTGGTCTGTAAACAGGGAGAAGGAAGTTAGTCTCTCCCCCAACCCGTGGGCACCCCTGCTCAGGAACCTGAGAAGGGGGCTGCTGTGAGGGCAAAGACCCGGGCCTCCGAAGTGGGGGAGTCTGGGTAGGTGGGTAGGGGAGGCCCCCGCCGGGGCAGCCAGGCTGAGAACCAGCAGCACGCACCCCCCCAGGCTCTCCTCCTCCTGCTACTGGGTGCCCAGGGCCAGGCCAGCACTCCCAGCCCCAGGTGTGACTGTGGCCACAACTCCCACAAGAGGAATGGTCTGGTCTGTTGCAGGGGCTGTCCAGCAGGTGAGTGGCTGAGGGGTGGGAGGAACTTGGGGGGAAGTGAGGGCAAACTGGGGATGGGGGTGGGAGGTGGGGAGGTGGGGGTCAGGTTGGGGGGAGTAGTGGTAGGAAGGCCAGGGGTGGGGTGAGGGGAGGCTGGAAGGGAAGTAGGAGCCAGAGATAGGAAGGAGGGAGGGGAAGGTGGGAGCCCCCTTTGACTGTCTGACCCCAGTCTGGGTTCCCCAGGGCACTACCTGAAGGCCCCCTGCACGGAGGCTTGTGGTGCTGCCACCTGCCTCCCGTGCCCCCAGGGCACCTTCCTGGCCTGGGAGAACCACCATGAGACCCGCTGTGCACGCTGCCAGGCCTGTGATGAGCAGGGTGAGGGGCTGCCTAGTGCTGGGATGGGGGCTCCTGAGGATAGGCCCTGGCCAGGGTCTTCCTTTTTTTTAATTAATTTTTTTTTCGGGAGAAGGGAGGTAATCAGGTTTATTTATTTATTTGATGGCGGTACTGGGGATTGAACCCAGGACCTCATGTGTGGTAAGCACACACTCTACTACTGAGCTGTACATTCCCTGCCAGGGTCTTTCTGAAGAAAGTGGCTTGAGTCTAACCTTTGAGTGGGAGGGCCCTCTGCCCTAATCCTACCCCAGGACGCCTTCTTGCCCTCGCATCCTGGTGACCTTCCTGTCTGTACGTGCCCCAGCCTCTGGTCTGGGGCGACCCCCACACTTCTCTCCCCTCGGGGGTGGCCCTGTCTCAGGTCTCCCCATCTCCGTTCTATGGGGCACCTGTCCCGCCTCCCTGTGGGGTCTCTAGCTCTGACAGCCTCTGCTTTCCTGGTCTCCCCAACCCCTCGCCAGCCCCCCAGGTGGCCCTGAAGAACTGCTCCGCGGTGGCGGACACCCACTGTGGCTGCAAGCCTGGCTGGTTCATGGAGTGCGTCGTCAGCCGGTGCCTCCACGGCTCTCCCTTCCGCTGCCGCCCGTGCACGGACTGCGGGGCCCTGCATCGCCACGTGCGGGTGCCCTGTGAGTACCTCCATTCCGGACTGTCTACTTCCACACCCCCGTCCCTGCCTCCCCTTCCCATCCTGACCCACACCATCTCTTGGACCACAGGTTCCAGCAGAGACACCCAATGTGGGACCTGCCTGCCTGGCTTCTATGAATATGGGAACAGCTGTGTGTCCTGTCCCACGTAACTTCCTGGCTGCCCTGGGCTGGGGGGAGGGAGGCTGAGAGGAGAGTTGGGGCCAAGGGGCGGGGAGGAGGGAGCTTGGCCCTGTGGTGGGTGGGTCCCACTTCAGGCAAACACTGGATGGGAAAGAGAAATCTGAATTCACCTTATGCCCGATAAATCAGTGGGCATGTCTTCGCTTTTTGCCTTACTTTCCTTTACTAATCCCTCCACTCGTACAGTAAGGATAGGACATGTTACTGAGACAGCCAGCCATGTTAATAGTTTTGAAACTTGGGCTGAGGAAGGGATAAACTTGGGAGTTTGAGATTCGTAAATATTAACTACTATATATAAAAACAGATTAAAAATTTCTTCCGTATAGCACAGGAAACCATATTCAATGTCTTCTAATAACCTTTAATGAAAAAGAATATGAAAACAAACAAACAAATAAAAACCCAAAAGACAACTTGGCTGAGATTCAGGACCTGCCCCTTGTTCTCTGAGGGATTCTGGGCAAGTTACTCCATTGCTCCCAGCTGTGGCTTCCACATCTGAACCTGGGGATGTTAGTAAGCTCTTCCCAGGATGGTAATTTAAGGGGTGATTAACTTTACTCACTCATCTGCTCACCATGTCTTTACTGAGTGTCTGCCATTTCTGGACACCGTTCTAGGTGCTGGGGGAACGAAATAGGCAGATCCCAGAGCTGACATTCTAGTGCCCCTCATTCTAGTCTAGAAGAAGGTCAATAAGTAGTGGTTGTTACTCGGGACACCAGTGACATCGCAGCAGTACTTCAAGAACATTCTTGGGTGGAGCAAGGTTCTCAGGAGGGAAGGGGCTCCAGGGTGGAGATGTCAGGCAGTCCCGAGTTGTCCCTTCTGGTGTTTACTCCCTCACCCTCCACCCCATCCCCTCCCCTTGCAGGAGCACCCTTGGGAGCTGTCCTGAGCCCTGTGTGGCTGTCTGTGGCTGGAGGCAGAGTAGGTGGTGGGCTGGAAATGCAATGGGAGAGCTGGGAGGAGCCAAGGGGAGATTGGGGGATGGCTACCACCCACCACCCACCAGCTGCTCTTTCAGTGTTCTGGGTCCAGGTGCTACTGGCAGGCCTGGTGGTCCCACTCCTGCTTGGTGCCACCCTGACCTACACGTATCGCCGCTGCCGGCCTTGCAAGCCCAGATTTCCTGGTAAGCATACACACATGTGCGCACACGTGTTTCTGGGGGCCTGGGGTCAGGATGGATAGCCAGAGCCACAGCCCTGATGCAGAGGGGAAACTGAGGCAGGAGTGCTGGGAGTGGGGTACAGAGGAACCCAAGAGGAGCTGGCCCAGCACCCCAGTTCAGGAGCTTTGCCTGGTTGCTGATTACACTCTTTGTCTCTCTCAGCAGACAAAGCGGGGACAGAGGCCCTGACCTCCCTGCAGGTAAGAATCTCAGTAGTGTTCTAGGAAGAGTGAGCCAGCCTTCTGGAGCTGAGAGATTGGGCCTTGTTATAACTTGTGGCCCGATGGTGAGCACAGAGCAGACCTAAGGCACACCTGTGCTGAGTTACAAGCGAGCAAGAACAGCTCAGTGCCAGTCCTCAAGTGGCTCTCAGTTGACCCGGGTCCAGACGGGTGAACAGGATCCAACAGTTCAGTAGGAGTGCCACCCTGGGGAGGCCACTGCCAGGGTTGGGGGAACAAGGAGAGGGCATCAGGGGCAGGACATTGCAGGCAGAGGAAAGAGCTCTTCCACTGGGTCACAGTGAGAGAGCCTGGTGGACTGCGGAAGGTGGCACCGGGGGATGTTTGCTGACTGAGCCAGGGATGCCCCTCCTGGCCAGAGACCCCAGCAAAGGGGCCTTGCTAGGCAAACAGGGCTGACCTGGGTCTTCTTTTGGCTTCCAGGCCACCCACGTCTCACCCTCCGACAGTGCCCACACCTTTCTGGCACCACCCAGCAGCAGTGAGAAGGTCTGCACCGTCCAGTTGGTAGGCAACAGCTGGACCTCTGGCTCTCCCCAGACCCAGGAGGCTCCCTGCCCGGAGGTGACTTGGTCCTGGGACCAGCTGCCCAGCAGAGCTCTTGGTAAGGGATTTCAGTGGCCTGAGGCCTTGGCCCCATTCTCCCAAGTAAAGGTGAGAAGCTGTGGTTTCCTGAAGCACCACTTGCCCACTTCCTATTCCCTAACTGACCAGGCGAACCTCCCTGCCC